AAGAGGTCTGATGAGCTTCCACCTCAACTTCGTGTCCCTTGACAGTTGTGGCCAGCGGTGTAAATCGTCAAAACGTTACCTTTTTGTCACCAGACGAACTGATCTCATGCAATGTTGTAAGGACCACTTTTTCATATGTAGCAGCCAAGAGTCTTTAAATTGACTCTGACTCCGCCACTCTCATTTCTACAAGTTTTTAGTTTCTATGAGTTCAGGTTTTTAGATCTAATTTCAGCTTTACTAGGCAAGGTATACCTCTCGAAAGGCGATCAGCTTTTACGACGATAGCTTTTCATTTTCAATTTAGTGTCTCCAGCAACTGATAGGAAGTAGTTTGCCTGATCTGGCCAATACTGTTTTCCAGACAGACTGATCACATTTTATATCCCAAAACCTAGGCCTTTTATCCAAATGAAGTTCTTTTTGGCACCTTTATTTCATCCACAAGTCATTTCAGATTTCTGAACCTTAATAGCGCCTTTCAAGGGAGAGTGACCATATTAAAGGAACTTGATAATCTACAGCTCTTGAACGTTAGCACTTTTACTTCAGTAATGTCTAACGTTCTCCTCTGTCTTTGTCCCCGGCGTTGAAGCCCTCTGTGGAGGTTTAAGTGGAATCATCCCCTCTTGTCTTTTTTGTACTGCCTTTCTAGTATAATATTTTTTGGAAGATTGTATTACGTTGGAGTCTCGTCAATCTGAGAATTGCCAGGGCAAAATCAATTCCACCTTCGTAAAGAGCATTTCGCCGAATCTTAGGTTAGAGAATAGAAAATCTCTAAACTTTAACTGTTGGAGGATCAACTTATAAGATTTTCCATCAGAATTTTCAATGTAAATGTCAGGCGTGATAACAGTTACGAAACTGTTTAGCTCTGAGCGCGAAACAACCGAGAGTGATTTGGTATTCAAGACTTAGTTTCTTCATGTGAAAAGTTGCTGAGCTTGAGTCAGCCTTAAAAACGCCGTATCGGATTTCTAAGAATCCTCTGATGCGACAGCTTCGTTGCAAGCCACCGCTGTCAATGTTCTCTGTACGCTTGATCTACTCACGGCTTTTTCGCTGCTCATGGATAAGTTTTAAGAAACCCAAACAGACCTCGGCTGCTAAAAGGTTGATCTAAACTGTATATAGAAGAAAAAGTACAAGTTTTAAAAGTTTTAGAAAAACATTATTATACCCAAAGCGGAGATCTGCTTGGAATCTAATACGTGTTTTTCTTGCGCTCAGTGCTTATGAGAATTCTATTAATTTTATTTAAACTTTGTTCGAAATATTGAGACTCTTTCGTTACTAAAATAAACGGATAAGCTTTATCTCGCAAAAAGTCATAGAGAGCTTCTCATTCTACAACCCATCACTCCCTCAAAACCGACCCAACGCAGACATCAGTATAGAAGCATCACCTTACTTCATGACCAAACCCTCTCTCTTCTAAATTTTCTTCAAACATCGTACACTTTCTTCTTCTTTTTGTGGACTTTTGGCGAGCTTTGCTTGCCACTACCCTTGATATTTTAATCTACTCACTTGTAGTAAGTTAGTGAGTTTAATTCCCAATCCCCAAACCCAATGGGAGTACCACGCTTGATGATGAAACGACTTAAGTAGCTCACTTCATAACTTCGTAGAGGTCACTTAAGTGCAACTCAAGAACGCCTTAAGTGCAGCTTATTAGTCGCCAACACACTGCAAGCAAACAAGCACGAGTAATTCATCACGTTCGCTTGCAACTCACGTTAACTGTACGCTACTTCTTCTACACCACTCTCTTGCTCTCTCGCTCACCCGCTTACCCTCACGCGCTATTTTCTCTATTTTGAACTCACTTTTGGGTTTAACTCATAGTTTTATAATAAAGAATTACGTTATCGTGACAGTTGACCATGCAACTAAATTGCGAATATAAAAATTACATTTTTGTTTTTTGGTGCATAATGTACAATATGTGGAAGAAATGTTGAAGAATGAGCAAGAAGACTAAGAGAAAAAAATAAAAAGTAAAGAGTAAATAAAAAATGTCAGAAAAAATGTACGCAGTTTAGTACTCACGTAAACTCATAATTCGCCAGTTGACTTTTATAGTTGGTTAAGTACTTTTTTCTCTTTTTCTTCTTCTTCTTGTTCGAGTAATGCTTGCTATAATATTTCTTCGTTTTAGTTTTGAGTATAAAAAATATATTTTTAAGTCAATTTGTCATCGGTTTTTAGTTGTACTTATCTCCCTTTGTTTTAAGAAGTAAATAAAATTGGGGGAGAAAAATGTTGCTTCTCATAAATACCAAAAATGTGGTCTGCGCCTCACGCTCGCTTTCTTACTCTATTTTACTACCAGCTCCTCAACCGTTGCTCATTTTTGGAGCGCATTTCTGGTGGTAGCAGCATTCATCTTAATTTTGCTTCCACTGGTTGATGTCTGTGCTAAACAATGAAACTTCGCTTAAGTTTCCCAGCTATGCTTAGTTACAGCTTTAAATATCACAATATTCACTTCTCCTTTGATCATTTGCCAAGAAAAAAAAAGTTGGTTAGATAAGCAATAAAGTTGGAGCACAATAAACCTAATAAAGTGGCACCAAAGCCGTTTGTAGTCAGATCCTCAACTTCCCTCTTCCAAACAAGCAATCAAATTTTGCTTTGTAAATTCTATTATAAGGCAGAGAGAAACCAAATAAGATATTCAAAATCGATGAGATGTGTCAAGTGTAAAGCTCAACATCGCAGCTTCTTCCACAGCAGTCAAAAAAAGTTGGCTTCATCCAAAATTTGCAACGTGGCGATAGGGAAATCCCGCAGGCAGACAAACTGTATGGCGCTGACTCTACCAGTCTAGCTGGTCACTGTCACCCGCCTAACAACACAATTTAGAACTCTTGTGTCTGTCATAGTGGAACCCATAAGGAGCACTTGGCGACCGGCGACGCTTCATTTTACTTTCGTTTCGGGTGGGTTGTTGATATACAAACAGAAATTTGCACTAAGCGAAATAGAATTTAGTACGCCTGCAGGTTCATTTACGGGGCTACTCTACTACTAAGGTATTATTATCGAAAACAGAGTAATGAAAACGAGAAAACCACTACCCAACACGGCTATGATCGGCGGAAAAAAACAATTTCTTTCTTAACCAACCATGTTTTTAACCCTCGTGTAGGATACAGAGCCTTCAAGTGCGAAACGAAATTAGGTACTGGCTTCCTTACCCTATAACAACTACTTCTCAAATTTGAATAAAACGATATTTAATTTTTAAATATTCTCACCATTTTTTCCCATAATTAGTAGTTTTAAAGATTTTTTAAAAGTCTTTCTTGAATATATAATTTAATATAATTAATTAAAGACAGTCCAAAATGAGTTCAGTCTCCGCCATGTTTTTGAGATACATTCTCACGTATAGAAAGCGTGTAAAGGTCTTTCAGATACAATTTAAATATGATGACTTCTTGGCAATTTTTTTACATCATTTGAAATTGAATACTTAAAGCAGTGTTCACACAGACACTTAATTGGCAATTAGAATATTTTGAGGTATGCAGTTGTTAATTTTATGACACTTAACCATACGATATCAGCAAGGATTTTTGTCAAAAAATAAAAATAAAAATAAAAATAAAAAAATACGTAAATAAATATACGGGAAGAAAAAGTTAAAAAAATTGTGTCTTTTAATAATTTAAATGTGGAAAAAATTATATAACATGAAATTAAGTTAAGAATAAGTTGGAAATTATTATTTTTAGAAGTATAACTAACAATGGACGCCTTTTATTACATTAACAGTCATCATTAGCAATTTTAATTAAAAAATATACTGTTCAGACAGGTACTTAATTGGCAATTAAGATATTTTCAGCTGTTAAATTAGTAATGGCATAACAATAAAACTACATACAATGCGCAATTAACTGTCTAATTGTCTATTAAATGCCAATGAAATTCTATAAAGAATATTAAATATGTTATTTATTTTTTCAAAAACAAAAAATTTAAAAAATGTTATGTCACTAAAAAAAATTGAGAATAAATTAGAAATTATCATTATTATAGAAATACAACTCAATACTACGATTGTATGTTTTATATTTAATTAGCATTTCCATACGAAAATTAAAGCTTAGTAGTATACCGTTCAGACAGTTCCTTAATTGCCCATTAGCATAATTTGATTTTAAGCAATATAGTTAATAGTGATACAATTTGCAATGAATTACATTCCTATTTGCTTATAAAAATATCAATGAAGTATATTTAATCTGAGAAAAATTAAAATTTTTTATAGAAATTAAAAATTGAAAAAAAAATTACCATAAAAATTAATTGAAAATTAGTGAAAAATTCAGAATATGAAAAGTTTAAATAATTCTGTTTGGCATACATTTCAAATTACTTTTTTAAACTGTAATTTAACAAAAATAAAAAGAATTGAAAGAAAAATTAAAATATTTTGCTGACAGCTGTCAAATATTAATTACCTCAACTAAATTGCGGCTGTGTGAACAAATATGAGATCTTATTTTAATATTTATTCTTAATTCAGCTGCTTGAAAATGATGCAAAACCGTGCTTGAAAGGGGAAAAAAAAATAAATAATTCTTGCTCTACATTTGCTTTGACACTCCTTACCCTTGACTACACTAGGTTCATGGCCTAAAGCGCTCACTGCCAATTTATCTAAACAAATTCACGGAAGCACTTTAACTAATTTTTCAATTTTTCTGCAACGCTGTTAGTTAATTGCACATAAAAAAATTCAAAAAAGATTTGCAAAAATAACAAAAGAAATTAAAAGAGTGAAATGAGCTGTTGCACTAATGAAACAAATTAATTTACAAGCAGTCTGAACACGCGTTGGTCCTCAATGAACTCATTATTAATGTCGAACAACATGAAACAATATCATTAGCAAATTTTCTCTGGAGATAAGATAGCGCAAAGGCGTATGCGAAAGCATAAAAGATTGCGTTGCCCTCGGCGGCCAGTGCAATAAAGTGGAAACTATGATAAACAGAGTAACTTACCGACTAATATTACTCATCGCACTGAGCGGAGCTCCGCTAGTACAAGCCGAAGAGAATGCAACGGCCGTTGATGTGGACTTTCTGCCACTCAAAAGGGCCGTGCGTTGTACTGCCGCCAAGTGTCAGCTGCCGAATTGTCGCTGCTCGGGCTTACGTCTGCCGAGCGCCGAGTTTCAGGGACGTGAGCAGGAAATACCACAGGTTTGTCACAGAAAGAGAAACATATTTTAAAGGAATTCAAGACTTTATCCTCAACGCGCAGCTCATCACAGTGACCTTCGACGATGCGGTGAATGTGATAAACTACGAACAGTACCAGAAACTCTTCGACGGTCTCATCAATCCGGACAACTGCAGTGCACGCGGCACATTCTTTGTCTCACACGAGTACACCGACTACACACTGGTGAATGCGCTCTATCAGCAGGGTCATGAGATTGCTTTGCATTCGGTTACACACGGCACGGGCACGGACTATTGGCGTGAGGCGGACGTTGAACTTTTAATGGCTGAATTTGGTGAGCAAATAGAAATGCTGATGAAATTCGCCAAAGTGAGCCGCAAGCATATACGTGGTTTGCGTTTGCCTTTCCTGCAGAGCGCCGGTAATAATTCTTATGAAGCGGCAAAACGTTTGGGTTTGCTCTACGATAGCTCATGGCCAACACAACGTTATCGCAGTCCCGCTATGTGGCCTTATACCTTGGACTATCGTTCGACACAGGATTGTCAGATTGGGCCCTGTCCGAATGCCGCCATACCTGGTTTTTGGATTAATCCAATGGTTACTTGGCTCGATACCGCCGGTTATAGTTGTGCCATGATCGATGGTTGCATATATCCACCGCAAGATAACGTCGACGCTTTGTTCGAATGGATGTTGGAGAACTTCAACAGACACTATGAGGGTAATCGTGCACCATTCGGCATGTATCTGCATGCGGCTTGGTTCCAGCGTGGACGGCATCATTTTGACGCTCTTAAGAAGTGAGTACAGAGAGTTAGATTTTAGTGATCTGATGGTTTGTATAAGCTAGGATCCAACAGACGTGGAAATTGAGATAGACTCGATATGTAAACTACTTTTAAAATGAGTATTCTTAAGCTTCTATTGCTCAATCTCGTTGGTTTCTCGAAGTTCTTAAGAAAGACGACCTAGATGAATATATTTTCAATGCATTTAGGGTATTTCCGTGATAGCTTCAACTTAATCGTGGTCAAGTAAGTATTACTGACCTGTAAGACCTGACCATTCTTCTAGAAAACTTGTGCAAAAAACATGGTGACAGATTCCTTCGACTATCTCGAAGAAAACCCTCTAGCCTCTCGTGTTGTGAGTAAACCATGTCTATGGTCTCCTGAAATAGGAGTCTTTTTTAAAGCTCTCCCTATCTTCTCATTCCTGTTCTCATCTTATAATTGAAGCCATACCTAGGGTCGGGTAGTCTGAGGCATATATTGCTCGGGTCTAGTATACATATCTATCGACTCCATCGCTCCAAATACACTGTCGCATTCGCTTTTCAAGTCACATCGACTTCCATAGATACTTTCAGAGAACTTTCTAATACGCCAGCAGTCCCTACTAAGTTCAGAGAGCCTTCTACACAAATCCAATCTGAAATTTATACCACTTGGGCGTGTAAGTGGGAACGTCTCATCTATACGTAGCTTAGTGCGGTCTCTATCTTCTACTCAATCACTCAACACTAGATTCCGATAACAAGAAGGCAGTAAATATCACTGTCCCCAAGACGAATACGAAAGTCCTTGACAGCTTTCTTGATAGACTGGACTCTTACTTGGAATAACTTTCAATTTCAAACTTCCACCTCACAATACAATCCTCTCTTTCAGATTTCTCCACTACGTGAATACACTACCCGATGTATACTTAACAACCGCCTCGCGTGTCATACACTACATGAAACATCCGAGTTTGGGTAAACCCTTCAATGGCTGCCCGAAGAAACCACAAACAACATGTATAAAACGCAGTTGTGGACTCCGAAAGGTGGAAACCGGTGAGATACGCTATATGAATGTGTGTGACAGTTGCCCCTCCGTTTATCCCTGGTTGGGCAATCCATTTGGCCAGACCGAGTACTAAGTTGGAAAAAGGAATACAGAGAAAAGTACAAGTTTTTCAAATGTGAAGTACTTGAGAAGACCGGAAGAAGACATGCGAAGTGGCGCAGTTATGTTGATGAGTATAAAGTTGTTGGTAGAATGTGCAGTGAAGAAAATCTCTTTTTTTTAAAGAACCAAAAGTTCGATACTCAATAAAACTGATTTAAAACGCACTTGAAATAAATTAAAATACATAAAGTGGACGCCAGGACATGGCAGTTATGATGTTAAAATGGTTGTGAGCTATGCTGAGGGAGAACTTCTATTCGAGTGCGAACACGTGAGTTAAATTTTAAAGAGAATTAAGTGGCGGAGGAGCCGGCATGTAAGGCAGGTAAGTGGTAGAATTGGTGCATTTGCCTCTTTCAATTGCTCTGCCAGACACTTGAGATAACTTTTTCAATATTCTACTCAGCCTTTAAGGGTAAATCAAGTTATTTGTTTGTTTGATGAAAAATAAAATCTTCAAATATAAATAAGAGGCAGAGTTCACAGTTTGTCGTACATGCAATATGTACACAAGGGTCAAAGGTCATTGATTTACTTGAAACAAATAAAGCTTTCTATGGCTAACCGCAAAAAAAAACGCTGGAGTTTGTTGGCCAACGAGTAAGAAATGAGTGATAAGGTGAGTGAGCAGTTGGTGAATGAATGAGTGGTTGAGTGTTAGATAGTTAGTGTGAGTAGTATGCTGGAGAGACGGGAGAGAAGAGCAAGAGAGTAATATAACTTAAAGTGCTTGAGACTTCGTGCGGAGTGAAGGAATAAAAGTGAAAAGTTTTTTTTCCTTTCACCTGTAAATGGGCTCTACATAGTTTTCTATTGGATTTAAATATTTGGAGCTTCACTCACTTGTATTGATGTGACTTAACGCGAAGATCGACACTATTCCGAACGAATGGACGCGGCATTTCACAGACAGACCGTAAATGCCATTCAGCGAGACCAACTCAATACCTTAGTCACCTCACTTCCCATCAAGAGGGCAAAAATATTGTTCAAACTATTCTGAACTCCAGGAAATTTAGCAGTACAAAGTCATGGTCTTTTGTAGTGTGCGATATCATCTGTGTGCGACTTCTCAACGAGTCGATGAGTGTGATCTAACGTCTTTCCTAGTATGTGATAATTCGTATACAACTACCACGAATGGCAAAGGAGGAGCTTAAACTTACATTCCAAATCCAAGTCATACTGGCACTACTAAGGTATGAATGCTGAAGTAGACTTAACTCTGAGTTAACCAAACTCGAGCCCGAAGTACTCAAAGTGAATAGAGTGACTATGCGTCCAGCACTAGCATACCCATTAAAACGTACTCACATAGCAGATCCGCTGGCAATGGTTACATTCCTCCAGAGCATACAGAACTGTTGAGTACTTGAGAGTTACACAAAGAGTGGACTCCTTTTTGGACAGTCATTCCTACGCTAACTGGAAGTCTTCGAATAACCAGGCAGGGACATACCATGCATCTGTAATAACTATCGAGCTCCACATGAAACTTTTTGAGTACTTTTTACCCCTTTTATTTATAAAGGAAGACCACAATGTACCACACATTTAAGTGGATATGTGGGAGCTTACAGTCTTTAGCCACTACCGAACAGCGCATCCTTCTAACTTCTCCCACACCTGTGAATTCGTCGGAGTATCGGAAAGTGCGTTTACCTCTGATATGGAGAACTCTGATTACTTCATAAAGAAAGAGCACTTCATTAGTTCTATCGCCTCGATTTGTATGAAATTTGGACCACGAACGTCTGTGAAAGGAATCTGTTGTATAATATCGAAAACGAGTACGCCTTAAAGTTTTAAGAACGTTCTTAAGGAGTTAGTCCGTAGAGAACCAATGAATTTAGAGGGAGAAGCGAAGACGAACTGCGAGGAAGATACTGTTCCCCATTCTAATAACCACTGTACCAACTGATAAATAAGCAGCCCTCCTTTGGAACAATCTTTCCGGCTGCATCACCAACGCAATGTCTGGTGGGTCGTGAAATCTGCCTTTATGAAGACAGCAAAGAAAACTGAAGCCACCTCTAAAGATAAGGAAATCTGAAGCGATATTCAAGTAGCAATAAAAACACTGCACGGTAACGCTGATTCCCAAAATTATACTAAAGGTGGCCAAACAGAGTATGGAGGGATATTGAGGAAAGCAGTAGAGTGGATTGGCTAGACATGGTACGACGGAGCGGATCATCTCGATATAGAACGCATTGGCATTACTTTTGCCACTTATAAGCAGTTTATCAAGGAATTTACTTATGAACCGGCCGCGTCAAGGTGGAATGAAACTAAACCCTAGCGATCCTGGTCAAAATGAGATAAGAAGAAATAATTAAATATGTACGCCTCAAAAAGAGGTGACATGTTCAAAGTGATAGGAGTCCCGACAGGCCACTGTCTGGTAAGATGGCATGCAGAGGAAGTATATAACCTACAGTTTATACTAAGCCGCCTCCGAACGGCTGATGGATTTTTTTTAATGCGGAGTTCCTTGCCGAGGAGCAACCGCAATTAGAAAATTTTACTTTATTTTTTATTTAAATTAATTTTCCATAACTTTTGGATATTGGTGGCACCGGAATATGAACCCGAGCCTTCCGAATGGCAGTACGCGTTGCTAACCACTCGGCTACCGTGGCCGCCTGCAGAGGGACTAGGGGCTCTCTATGAGAGTTGCTAAAGGATGATGATGTGGAGGAAACGATCACTCATCTTTTATGCGACTGTGCCGCTTTGGCAGGGTTTCAGTATTTCGCGATTGTACTGTCTGTTAGTCTTTCGAATTTGGCCAACGTCTAAGCCCTGTATCTAACCAGGTTTGATTTGAAAATCGAAATTTCAGGCGACCGTAGCCTAATGATTAAATATTTTTTTTGGGAAAATGATGGATCTTCTTGAGGCCTTTGTGTGAAAAGATACGATAAATCGTTAGCCACCATAATTTAAACTAACCTAACCTAACTTCGGGCTCATCGAATTGTTGTTAAGTGGTTTGGGTTCTGAGCTTAGCTACTTTTAACCACAATTTTCTCACGCCTCAACCCTGACGGTTAGATAATCTGTTGATATTCACGCTGTCTGGTAGATGATAATTACTTTCCACCTCTTGCCAGCCGTTTTGAAACCTGGACCTGAGTCTTAACCATACCCTGACTACACTGATTTGAGCAATTAGCTTGTCTGCCACACATTAGAAAGGTCCACAACTCATAATGTAAGCTTTAAATTTTATTATGATTTTAAAAACGGTTTCCTAACGGGCCAACATGTGTATACAACCCTTGAATGTTTTGTAGGCGAAGCCGGAGCCGATTTTTGCCAACACAGCAGTGGCAGCAAACGAACGACCGACTCCCTACATTCATAAATACATATGGACATAGAAGCGATTGTATGCATTTATAGTTAAATTATATATAAATATATATGAACATTTATATACATGTATATATGTAGATATATGTTGGCCCGCCAATCGGATGTCGCCCGCTATTGCCGAAAGTCACGTATAGGGGCGTTACCTAACCTCGTTTATGCAATATGTTGTTCGTCATTCGTGCAGCAGCAGCAGCAACAGCAGCAGCAGCGTCAGGTTCGTGCGCAGATGGTGGTGCCAGTAAACTGAAAAAAGGAAACAAAAATAATAACAAAAACAAAACTAAATAGTTCATCTCCGAAACTACCACTACCGAAGTTGGCATAAATTATTTGTTTGTGGCTGTAGTTGTAGCTGTTAAATATGTTTGTATGTATGTATGTATGTATATATGTATCCATGTATGTAGTTTCAAGTAGTTCTAGTTGTCGAGCTGTTCTCTCGCTAATGTACGCCATGTGGTATGAGTAATGCGGCGCGACTCTCACCACTCACCAGTTTGGAGCTCTTCCTTTGGTTGAGTAGAAGACCGTTATGAGGCGCAAAGTTAGACCAACGGAAATGTGTTTTTGTTATTATTGCTAGAAGTAGTATGTTTTGTTGTGGATATTTTATTTTATTCCTCTGAGCTGAATGTTGTTGTTGTTATTATTATTATTTTCTCATGCAATATTCATACGAGAACGAATACGAATTGTTGGAAATAAGTCGTACGAATGTGTATGTATGTATTTCTTTTTCGTCATCTTATATAAAAATATACACTTATGTATATATATATTATATTATATATATGTGTACATATTTACTACGTACAAAACTATCAGAATATATAAAAATTCTTTTATATTTATGTAAGTAATACTACAGTCTTATGTACAACATGTATGTATGCATATTAGGGTGGTGCAGATGATTTTTCAGCAGAAGTAACGCCGAAGAAACGAAGAAACAGGCTTCGCGATTCGGCACCCACGTCAATCATAGTTTTGAAATAGTAAATATTCTGGACTATATTGAAACCACCAATAACACCAACAACAATGTCAGTTTTGAAATCCAACGTAGAAGCATTATTGTGCGACAAGTGTTTCCTAGACAAACAAAGACCATTCTTCATTCCCGTTCTACTTTATGGTGTGGAGATCGTTGAAATCCAACACGGAACTACTCAAGAACTTCTTTGAAAATTCCTCTCTCGACGAACAAAGACAAAACTCTACGAGTCACTCATCGGAACCACAGGCTCCATCAATTTTATTAATTTTTTTTTATTTTATTTACTTGTAAACTTATTAAATAATTCATTTTTTTTTTGATAATTTTGTAAAAAAAATTTACTCCTAAATATTTTGTACCACCCTAAATTATATTGTATTAACATATGTAGGTAAATAATTTGGTCCTTAATGTTGACCTTATTGCAAATTTTATATATACATACAATTTCATTTCTTATGTATATAACACATTTGTTGCCATATACAGTGCTGTTATTGCCCTTCCCTCTCTATCTATCTCTCTGTATTAGAGATTCTCTCAACCTATGCCACAACCCTGCGTGCCTCTCTGCATTCTCTACTGTATTATTGTGATTTTTTGTTGTTTTTTTTTTGTTAGTGGTTTTATTTTTAGTATTTTTGTGGTTGTTGTTGTTGTTGACATCCTCATATAATGCATTTTATTTGTGCTACTTGTCTTGTCGGCTCTCTTTTAACGATAATGACGTTACGTTGTCCGTCTTCTCCTTTTTTTCTGTTTACGCGATTGCACGTGCTCTTCTTT